AAAAAAACAGCTAGTAACATGAAGATATGTGGTAAGATATCTAGATAATTCAAAATTATACACAACTTATATAATCAGACTTGACATGTTCACGAGTTAAAGTATGGTCCTTTAGAGCAGGGGTTCCCAAAGTTTTAAGCCCGCGACCCCCATCATAAATGCCCTGCTAACTCGCGACCCCCGCCCCCCCCCAACAGCCCTTCCGTCACATGAAATGAGCATGTATTTCCTTGATACGGAGTAACGCTTTCTAGAGACTCACGCCACTACCGAGCTGCACTGTCCAGCCCAAAAAAGGAGGCTTGCATATTTTTACTCATGTAGTGACACAGTGATGGGCTTGGTGGGCTCTCTCCTCAGCAGAAGTGGAGCGCATTTCTTGCGGCTCGCCCTCACTGTTCTCCTACCGCGGTAAAGTGGGCCGGCTTTCCGGAGTCAGCGGTAAAGAGGTCCGCACATTAAAAGCGGGCGGCCGCTTTCTGCTATTACTTTATGCGGTTCATCCCCGCGGCTTCTCTTTCCAAAGTTACTGTCAGTAAAGGCATAAACCGGCCACCCGCTTTTAATGTGCGGCCCTCTTTACCTTTGACTCCGAAAAGCCGGGCCTCTTTAACGCGCTGTTCTACCGCTGTCCTCCCTCCTTCCCTCCGCTGCCCTCTCTCCCTCCGCTGCCCTCTCTCCCTCCTCTGCCCTCTCTCCCTCCTCTGCCCTCTCTCCCTCCTTTGCCCTTTCTCCCTCCTTTGCCCTCCCTCCCTCCTTTGCCCTCTCTCCCTCCTTTGCCCTCTCTCCCTCCGCTGCCCTCCCTCCCTCCTTTGCCCTCTCTCCCTCCTTTGCCCTCTCTCCCTCCGCTGCCCTCCCTCCCTCCGCTGCCCTCTCTCCCTCTCTCCCTCCTTTGCCCTTTCTCCCTCTCTTCGCACCATCAGCCTGACCCCTGATACAAGTGACTTTTCTCCCCCTCCGGGTTTTTCTGTTGTGGATATTAACCACGTTTCATTTTAAAGCAGGTATTATTTATTTGTAGCCTCCAAACACCTTTAGTTTTAGCAAACAACAGCAGGACACGCTTTGTCGCTGCGCATGATGTGAGCTGTGTTACGTGATGATTTTGATTGACGCTGCAATGACTGGGACAAAATTACTAACGTTATTAAAATATATTATAGTCTCCAAACACAATTTAACAAGTCCTTTTGAATCAAATCAAATGCTTTTTTTTGTGTGTGTGGAAATCATCTTGCGACCCCCCCAGGGGTTCCCGCGACCCCCCGGGGGGTCGGGACCCCCACTTTGGGAACCACTGCTTTAGAGCAGGCCCTCTCCATGTAATTTGTGCTTCACCCACAATCTTAACCCGGGTAACACTTTGTTACACTGAGAACTAATTACCGATGCAAACCACCTGCCGGAGTTTAGCAAGAAACAGTACAGACTTGCGTGTTACGGATGACTACTTAATTTTGCTGCTTTCATTCACCTAGTAACCGTAGCAACAGATTGTCTATCACTGCTGCCGAACGGAACATTTTAAGAGTTCCTTGGTGTTTTGTGCACTATTGTTAGTCACTTAGTTAGAAACTTTCAGAATGATGTACTTGTGTTCGGATGGATGTTTTGCTGATGCTGGACACATGAATTTCTCCTACGATTATCAATAAAGTATATATATATTTTTGCAGTTTGGTGTGTGGTGAGTCTTTTTGCAAAACCACCCTTTTCAAACTTGGCTTTTGGACCCGCCCACTGGAATACCATCAGGAAAGCACAACTCTTTCTTTTTTACTGCTACCTGTTCTGCTCCAATAATAACTGTGACTATTTTTAGCAGTAGTTCCCCCCATGTATATCTCACAGCAGGTTTGAGAATAGCCCTAGTTTTGGGTAAGAAGTTATTTCCAGTTTTGTGACGATTGCCCTGAGCTCATAACAGACTAATAATAGAAAATACAGCGTCATTCGATGTCTGCTGGAACACTCAGCCCACACAAACACAAACACAAACACACACACACACACACACACACTGACACACACAGCTGCGTCAGCCAATCAGCCGCTCGATACTCATCTCATTGTGAAAGACTGTGGACAGGAAGAGCCGCAACTCCGCTCGGCTGGGCCTGTTCAGACACTTCGACCAGGATCCTTCGACTTTATACACACACAAATAACTGTGCAGCCTTTTCTCTTTATAAGGAAGCATTTGGGTGAACGTGTCTAGTCGAGCCTTACCGGTGCCTTCCATAATTCTCTCTCTCACTTCACAATTTTAAAAGTAGTTTAAATGGTATCTATGGGTATGTTTCTACCAATTAGAAAAGTAAAAAAAAAGCCCAAAATGGTGTGTGACACAAACAGTTACTGAGCCAGGACAAGCTGGAGCAAAAATTTGTCCATGAGTACTTCCCTCCAGGGCTTCACTGAGCTAGCATGTTAGCTTTGATCATCTATATGCAGTCTAATGATAGAACCACACTCTTTTGAGAGCAAGGATATAGTTAGATCGTTTATTTACAATTTGTAGTGGTTTGAAAGTTAAGTGTACCAGCTTTATTTTTGTCCAGTTAAATCAATTAGAAAAATGTTCATCACAGTTTTTATTATTATATAAATAGTATTCAGATGCATGCATATTTAGCAACTGGCACAACAGCAGAGCAGCTTACTCTCTCTGATCTCTCTCTGGTCTCTCTATGGTCTCTCTATGGTCTCTCTCTGATCTCTCTCTGGTCTCTCTATGGTCTCTCTATGGTCTCTCTCTGGTCTCTCTCTGGTCTCTCTATGGTCTCTCTCTGGTCTCTCTAAGGTCTCTCTCTGGTCTCTCTATGGTCTCTCTCTGGTCTCTCTCTGACCTCTCTCTGGTCTCTCTCTGACCTCTCTCTCTCCTCTCTAGGGTCTATTTCTGGTTTCTCTCTGGTCTCACTCTGCTCTCTCTCTGGTCTCTCTTTGGTCTCTATCTCGGGTCTCTCTCTGGTCTCGCTCTATTCTCTCTCTCTGGTCTTTATATTTGGTCTTGCTCTGGTCTCTTTCTCTCTGGTCTCCCTCTGGTCTCCCTCTGTTCTCTCTCCGGTCTCTCTCTCTGTCTCTCTGTGTGTTTTGATTGCCTTACAATCCGTTTTTTTCGCACTGGAAACAAAAAAACATTCCAACTGTGAGTTTTGATACTTTTGACACAGAGTGACTCTGATTCCACTAATCCTCCAAAGTAAGCAGCATCCTGTTTCGGTAACACTCTTAACACATTTCTATGAAGGAGATAGAAGCCGAAAGCTCTGGTAACAATATTTTAGATCCATCATTAGCTCGGCGCTCGCCCCCATCGCCAATTGAATCAAATTTGTTGGCGGTGACAGTTCCCAGCCACTTCCTGCATTCATTTTGAAGGCCCATTTACACATAGATTGGATGGCTTCTCGCGCTGCATACAATCTGCCTGCATTGTGCGCGGATGGGAAGAGTGCATTATTATTGCAGCTAACCAACGGAACGGCAACATCAACAAGACGGCTTTTCCGCTCCACAAAATCCTGACGGGAACGGAGTTGATCGAGACGCTGGTAATGGGCTTTTTTCTTTCTTTTTTTTTTACGGAGGTGAGGATGTGTGTCCAAGTGTGAGGGAAGAACTTGGACGAGGGGGGATAGTGGAAAGTTAGCCGTAGGGCTAACTTAGACTACATGTTAAAAGAAGACAGAGATTTTTTGCATGAGAAGAAACTTTGTCTCCTCAAATTACTTTGTCCGTCATCATCTGTCCGTCTGTTCATTGCTATTCATTGCTGTCCCATTGTCTGTTTCATGGCGGTATGATAGGACCACTGAATAAGGAGGACCGGTCTCCCTTGGCCCGGACTTGTGGGCTGTAACCCCTTACCGCCTGTGAGCCTCTCCAATTCTGCCTCAGTCCTGGGTCTACAGCCTCAGTCCTGGGTCTACAACCTCAGTCCTGGATCTACAGCCTCAGTACTGGATCTACAGCCTCAGTCCTGGATATAAAGCCTCAGTCCTGAATCTACAGCCTCAGTCCTGGTTATAAAGCCTCAGTCCTGGATTTACACCCTCAGTCCTGGATCTACAGTCTCAGTCCTGGATTTACACCCTCAGTCCTGGATCTACACCGTCAGTCCCGGATTTACAGCTTCAGTCCTAGATATAAAGCCTCAGTCCCGAATCTACAGCCTCAGTCCTGGATATACAGCCTCAGTCTTGGATATAAAGCCTCAGTCCTGGATATAAAGCCTCAGTCCTGAATCTACAGCCTCAGTCCTGGATATACAGCCACAGTCTTGGATATAAAGCCTCAGTCTTGGATATACAGGCTCAGTCTTGGATATAAAGCCTCAGTCCTGGATCTACAGCCTCTCAGTATGGGCCTCCCCAAGGTTTCATCCTTGCCGATGCAGGATGTTCTAAGGACAGTGACGATCTGGTCATTTCTGGACAGTATGCATCCCTCTCCCTATGAAACAACCTATTGCATTTTCTTTTTTATGAATTTTTGGATTCTCTGATCTGTTGTTGAGGAATTGCAACTCTTTACAATTCCTTACGACATGAAACCAAAACTTTATTTACTTTTTATTCTTTGTTTACCTTTATTCAACCAGTGTTCCATTCACAATACAACCCTCAAACAGTTATATAAAACATTGATACATTCAGTTATAAACCATGCAGATTGTTAACTTGATTCTGAGCTAAGTGGTCTTTAAGACTCTCCTCACACTGTTGAGGCAAATTTAACAAAAAATTTAGTTTTAGGAATTGTAATTGGCAAAAACCTCCCTATTTTTTTTTTTTTATTTTCCTCTCTCTTCTTTTAAATCTCTCAAATTTCCAGGAGTTTGATGCTTTTGTTTCTTCTGTTGTCTGACATTGGGTGTTTAAGAGCTTACACATTCTCTCTGGAAAAACAAGTGAAAAACATCATTTGAATAGAGATTGCGTGGGAGTGTTTGTGTGCAATCCAAAATCCATTATTTTTTTAGCCGTGTGTCGTTGTCGTCATTTCTTCTTCTTCTGTTCGTCTTGTTTGTGAGCGTCGTTATTCCGTCGGTCCCCAAGAGCCTCTCGCTCCAGCGCTGATCCCGGCTTCATTTGTCTCCGTCAACATGTGACATTTAACACTCTTGACACCGAGGCAATATGCGGCTTAATACCTCCATATGACTCCCACGTTCCCCTGCAGGCACCGACGGGAAGTGCGAGCGAGCAGGAGCCGGGCCTAATGAGGAATGTGTTTGTGTACAGCCAGAGAGGGATCCCATTACTACATTCTCACATACATGTACCGGGGAATTCACACACACGGTTTTGGGTCCTTGTTGGGTCACAACAAGGAAAAATCGACTTTCCGCAGCCTTTGACCGTGTTATAGTGCAGTGGTTGCTACAACTGGGGATCAGGGCCCAAAAAGGGGGTTGCAGGATCCTCTGTAGTGTGTTGTGAGAATTATACATGTACATGATAATGACAGGTTTTACTCACTGACTGCAGGAGAACATGGACCAGTCGCCCCACTCCTTCACTATATCCAACAGATCAGAGAGTGCTTGCAAAACAACTTTTATTCAGTGAAACTCAGACAAAACTGAGACTGAAGTCTTTGGTCCCAGAAACAAAGAGATAGCGTTGTCTGTCACCTCCTGTCTCACTTCCTATAACCTTCAAATCAGCTCAGAAATCTATGAATAATGTAATGGTTTCAAACTTGTAGCAGCCACATCTAATCAGTAACCTCTGCAGTTTAGAATCAAAAACATAGTATCAAGAGCAGAGACTTGACTATTCTTATTCATGCGTTTGTCTCCAGTAGGTTGGACTACTGTAACGGCTGCTCACAGGTCTCTTCAACAGTATATTCAAAACAGCAGCAGCTCGGGCCCTGACTAGAACAAGGAAGTACCATCACATCCTGGTCTCAGGTCTCTTTTTCCTGCGGATCAAGGAATAGAGTTTAAATCAACTCGGTTTGTTACAAGTCTCCCCATCTATGTACATCTGTGAAATGTGAGTGCCATATGAACCAACTCAGAGAAGCACAGGGACTGGCCTCCTGTCGGTTCCCAGAGTCAGAACTGAACATGGGGACTGTTGTGGAAATTTCCTTAATGATCCATGGAAACAGACTCGCATTTTGTGTGGTTTAATTAAAGTAAAAAGTACATGATAAGAACAAGCATTTGCAAATGAATGAAGCTTCTGCAGTCGCTCCTCGGAAGCTGCATAAGTCTCGCTCTGAAGCACAATGGGATTCACACAAGCTTTATCAGAATGGGCCGGTCCCTCATTGGCCAACTGCCGCAGCAAAAACACATGTCACACCTCTGCACTGATTACATGAAAACAGGTAACTCAAGGTAGGAAGAGCAGAGACACAAGGAGGGTAAGGGGGTCGAAAAGCAGAGGCAGAGGACACAGGAACAGGTCTTCCAAGATCACATCATCCACATGGTAAGGAAAACAGTCTCATCAAATGAGATGGTCAATCACTGTCTAATAAATAAACCCACAAACTGCATCTTAACTTACTCAAACATGGTCCCAAACACCTTACTGCCATAAAACAAAACCCTCGGGACCATTTATTAATCATCAAAATTCACCCACTATGCTGAAACCATGTTCATGTAATTTTTGCCATTACAGGAGGCAATGTTATGCAGTTAAAATCTACTCCAATGTTCAATTCCAGGTCGAAAATGTCACGATGTGGATTTTAGTTTTGTGCTTCGGTTTTGATTTTGACATCAGTTTTCTGTGGTTTTAGTTTTACTTCCTGTACAGTTCCCCGTCTTGATTGCCTGCCCCGTCCAAAGTGTTTCACCTCTGTCTCTCTGTGTCTATATAAACCTGTGCCCCTCTTCGATTGTTGCTGGTCCATTGTCTTTGCTTATCTATGTCCATGCGTTTCATTTTTTATTTATTATTTATTATAATCATTAATTCCTTCTTAAATCTTTGTGTCCTCCTTCATTTCACCTCGAGACAGAAAATATGTCTGTTGAGCTGTGCTACAACTGAAAGATTGTATGTAAACTTGTCTTGCCTGGTTTGTTATTTGCTTTGATCCGCTGGAACTTGTACTTCAGATGTAAATCCCACCGATGTAGTGTGACGAATGATAAAGATTCTCAAGTTATGGTCTCACACAGAACATCTCTCATGATGAATGTGTTATTCTTATTATTTTATAAGGGTGACACAAAAAACACTAAAATGGCACAGAATATGTCAAAATATTCTGGTGCGATAAGAGCACACACACAGAGTCGACAGTAAACAAGTCTGTGACGGATGACTCACGTGTAATGCCAGGTTCAGAGCTCACATTCTCCTCTGGGCACAAACACCGGTCTGTGACAAAATTAGGAACAAAATTACACTTGTCAGGCTACATCTTTATTATGTTTAGAGGATAACAGAGGGTAAATGTGGTATATGTGCTAGCTGCTGCTTTAGTATTTTCTGTGTTCTCGTCTCACTTGCTGCACTATTCAAGATATCGGCCGGATCCGAATGCCTAAATTATATTCTGACTGACTTTTATACAGCCCGTGTAAAAGATTGTATGGTTTGTCAACTTTTTGCGTGATGTTTTATGTATAATAACACTGGGTAACAAAACAAATTTTTTTGAAAATAGTTTAGGGTTTTCCAGCAGAATTAGACTAATTTTGATGCTCTGAGTCCGAAAATGACCTTGGTTTTGCTCAATCAGGTCAGGATTTTTTGCTACAGACTTTTTTTTTGTAATTGATTTTGCGTAAAAAACAAATTTCTGCGGATCATCAGCTGAGCAGCCCTTGACGTTTTTTCCGTTTTCCTCAAGAAATAAAAGTCAACGTATCCAAAGTCATTCAGTTTTGTTTTACTCCATCAAATTTGATTAGCAGAATTCATAATATTAGTAAAACAATGAGCGTTACGTGACACAACATTTTAGAGTTCACGGCATAAATCGACGTTTCTTTGATTCCCGTGTGTGAGCAGCTGCTGGGTTGTCTCCCTTCAGCGACCAGCAGTAGTCCGCCATAATGACTGCGTCCCACCTTCCCTGGTACCTCTCCTCCATGTGGCGCATGTCCTGATGGAACCTTTCTCCCTGCTCGTCGCTCATCGCCCCAAGGTTTTTAGTGATTGGGTGCCCTCTTTAAGTTATTTTTCCCGGGTGTCTGGACAGGGAGGCTATAAATAGGGAGTATCTTGTTGTGTAGCAAATGTATGTTTTTTTGTTTAATTTGTACCCTCTATGAATTAACTGGATTAGTTTGTTTATAATAAAATATCTCCTCGTCGCTAAGGATTTGTTATTGAAACTCTCGCACACACCACACACCTAAAACGTAGACGTACGTAATCCGTAACACTATGGCTGTATCTCAAAAAGTTGACCAGATAGAGCAAAATGCATGTGATATTCGGACTCAGAAAACCAAAATTAGTATAAATCAGTTGAGAAACCCCTGACCCTATTTTGGCTGTCAACTTGTGTAATCCAAAGACATCTCTGGCAGCTCACACGCCCAGCCCAGAGTCCCAGCAAGAGGCCAGTCCCTGTGCTCCTCAGAGTCCCAGCAAGAAGCCAGTCCCTGTGCTCCTCAGAGTTGGTTAAAATGGCTCTGACATGTCACAGATGTATTTCGGCCATGGAGAAACTGAAAAAGGTGACTGAAAAAAACATATGTAGATTTTTATTAATGCATGTCTTTTTGATTTTTATTCTGCTTTAACTCTTTTGCAACGAGAGCCAAAGCAATTTCCTAGTTTGTGACTTCTTGTTACTCACATGGCAATAAAAGGATTCTGATTCATGCATCCGTCAGACAGCGTACTCAATTTATTTTTGTACATACATGGACTTAACCAAATGTGGACCACAAGCAAAGAAAGGCAGACTGAAGCAGACTATTTCAGTCGATAATGCTTCTAATGAAGGAGATAGTTTAGGGATCTTCAACTTCAGCAATTTATATCACGGGTCTTCAACTTGGTCGTCAAAAGGCTGTGTGGCAGCAGGATTTCATTCTTCTCAAGCAGAAGCACACCAGACCCCATCCATTTCCCAAAGTAGGTCCAGTCTTTCCCGGAAGACTTTAGGAAATGGGTGGCATCTGGTGTGCTCCTGCAGCCACAGAGCCCTTTGATGGCCGAGTGGATTGATTTAAATTTATTTCAGGAGATAGCTTTAAAATGATGATTAATATGTCATGATGTTCCACATGAACCTATATCCATGTTTACAATACTACCTTAAATGCTTAACACACATATTGCATAAAAACTTGGCATCAATGCACCCACATTCGGGAAACTAATTTCAACAACTTTTTTGTGTGGTTTTTAATCATTACTGTTCAGCGTTTGTCAGTGGGTGAGTGGTTCAATGATGTAAAGCGTTTGTAGAGGCCAGAGAAGGAAAGTGGGCGATGAAAAGCACTAGAGTCATCGTTTACAAAAGGCTTCTCGAGTTAAGACTAAATTATGGTTCTGAGTCAACTGTATCGTGACCTGTGGTTTGTAACGTGACTGAGAAACGAGGAAGTGAATCATCCAGTCCGAGCAGCTGTTAGGAGATCAAAGGGGACTGATGTAGCAAGGGATGGCAAGTAAGATAGACTTTATTGTTCTTACAAAAGGAGAGATTTACAGTATATTTGTAAAGCACTATTCTTACACCGGGGCGGCTGAGTCACAACAGTTTACTTCTATTGATAGTTTTTTTGGCCTCAATCCGCTTGAAATGAACTTATTTAAGACCATGCACACTCGGTTCTCACCCCAGCACATGCAAATATGACTCACAGGGCTCTCTCCTAGAAGAATACAAAATATATCTGTACAATAAGATGTGGCATGGAATGATCCGATTCCTTTTTTACCATCTTTTACATCAAGGCACATTTTTTCTTCAATGGGGAATTTTATGTTTTTCAAAGTAATCTGGCGTCCTTTTGAAATTCATTGTCAATTTGAAATGTTCCTCCCCATGTTTCGTCCCGACTCTGGGCACCAGAAGGAGGCCAGTCCCTGTGCTCCTCAGAGTCTCAGCAGGAGGCCAGTCCCTGTGCTTCTCAGAGTCTCAGCAGGAGACCAGTCCCTGTGCTCCTCAGAGTCCCAGCAGAAGGCCAGTCCCTGTGCTCCTCAAAGTCTGAGCAGGAGGCCAGTCCCTGTGCTCCTCAAAGTCCCAGCAGAAGGCCAGTCCCTGTGCTCCTCAAAGTCTGAGCAGGAGGCCAGTCCCTGTGCTCCTCAGAGTCCCAGCAGGAGGCCAGTCCCTGTGCTCCTCAGAGTCCCAGCAGGAGGCCAGTCCCTGTGCTCCTCAGAGTCCCAGCAGGAGGCCAGTCCCTGTGCTCCTCAGAGTCTCAGCAGGAGGCCAGTCCCTGTGCTCCTCAGAGTCCCAGCAGAAGGCCAGTCCCTGTGCTCCTCAAAGTCTGAGCAGGAGGCCAGTCCCTGTGCTCCTCAGAGTCCCAGCAGAAGGCCAGTCCCTGTGCTCCTCAAAGTCTGAGCAGGAGGCCAGTCCCTGTGCTCCTCAGAGTCCCAGCAGGAGGCCAGTCCCTGTGCTCCTCAGAGTCCCAGCAGGAGGCCAGTCCCTGTGCTCCTCAGATTCCCAGTTGGTTCACATGGCCCTAACTTTCAGATGTTCTTTGAGAGACCGGTGCAGAACCAGAGCTGCTTTAAAGTCTCTTCTCTTCTGCAGAATTGTGTTTTTTGTTTGTTGTTGTCGTTGCAGAGAACTGTCACTGCTGTAATGTGGGTGAAGGTCGTGGACGTCTCCTCTGAGGGCCCCGTCATCTCTCTGACAGTCATCAGCCGTGACCACTGCGCCCCGGGGCCCTCCACCAAAATATCCACAAGCTCTCAGGGGCCCTCGCTGCTGCTGTGAGCGCCGCAGAGGAGCCGGCCCTCAGGAACCAGCTTCAAAGCCGTTTATGGACACGGCTCGCTGATTATTTGGCTTATGGTTTATGCTAATGCTACAGTTGTAATCTCTCCAGAGGGAAAGAGTGGCATGTCGTCTTTGTCTTGTTAGAAATAATGTAACATCTTTGTCGTACTTGTAAGAAAGAGCCTTGGGGGTCACTATTGGACGCTTTTGGCTGAGTGAGGGTAGTCTTCTGTTTTTCACGATTCTTTTAGAAGAAGTTGATCTAAAGATGTGACCGAGACCAAAATTACACAATGTGGAAACTGGTGATAGATGCAAACTGTAGCGAGAGCAAAGAACCAGTGCATGTGGTGTAAAAGTCAGATACCCCAGCTTTAATCTTTTATCTACAAAATCAGATTTTTTTTTTTCCATTGAGTAACAGGAAGTCACAAACAAGGAAATTGCTTCAGCTTTCAGTCTTTATGTGTTATAATGTTGATATTTGGCACAAAGCTCCAACTATCTCTAAAACTGTGAATATTTTTAAGATGGATTGTAAGTCATATTCATAAACAATGACAAACAAGGCTTGACATAATGTCATAAACGTAACAGAAAGTAAGTCCTTATTTATATAGCACACTTCAGAGGACCTAGCGTTTTATAATATTTTGCAGTCCAGATTTGTCTTTTACGCCACTCACGGTCAAAGTGGTTGATTCCCCAACACAGAAAAACAAAAACAGTGGGAAAAATATGAGAAGCTTCAGGGAGGCCCACAGAGAGAAATCGACTCCTGAGGACGGACTGGAGGCTGTAGATCCAGGACTGAGGATGTAGATCTAGGACTGAGGCTGTAGCTCCAGGACTGAGGCTGTAGACCCAGGACTGAGGCTGTAGATCCAGGACTGAGGCTGTACAGTAGATCCAGGACTGAGGATGTAGACCCAGGACTGAGACTGTAGATCCAGGACTGAGGCTGTAGCTCCAGGACTGAGGATGTAGACCCAGGACTGAGACTGCAGATCCAGGACTGAGGCTGTTGATCCTGGACTGAGGCTGCAGATCCTGGACTGAGGCTGTAGATCCAGGACTGAGGCTGTAGATCCTGGACTCAGGCTGCATGAACAAACCTGGAGTTGTTTTTGCTCTGTCCACGCTAAAACCAGGAATCTGGTCAGTGTTCTCTGGAGATAATCCTGTATCCAAATGCTAATCTTAACCTTAAACACGGACAGCCGCAAATTAGCACATGTCTATAAGCGACACAAAGGTCATCCTGACAGCATCACATCCTTGATTAATCCATCGGCACAGACTTGTGCCCCACCCCTTCTGTCTAAAAGCTACCGTTTAAAACTGGTTGTTCTATTTTCAATCTATGATGTCATGGACGGCTACCTATTTAAACCAAAGTATTACCTACAAATGAGTTTTATCCAGTCTCTCATCTCTATTCCTCACAACTCTGTGATGAAATAAAGAAGACTTGCTGATTCAATGTTTTGAGGAACTATCGAGATGGATAGTAGTTACATATATGGACCTACAGAAATATTCTTCTGTGAGACCCAGGGGAGGAGACTATTTCTCTCAGCTGAACTGGAAAAACCTCAGGATTTCCCCAGATGAGCTGGAGGAGGTGTGTAGAGGGAAGTCTGGGTCTCTGCTGAGACTGCTGCAACCCGGCAACAGATAAAGTGAAAGATACTGGATGGATGTTTTTGGGGTTTACCAAAAACATAAACAGAGGTGTAAACAGCACAGGCGCAGAGCAGCGTGTCGGTATTAAAGATCAGAAGTATACAAAAGATTTGATGTTTTCCAATTAGACACAGAAGGCTTTTGTCTCATTTATTCACATTTGATCCTTTCTCTCACCGAGGCAATTTTTGTTTGTCTCAAAATATTCAAACTGCATTTTATGGTTTTCTAACATAATCTGGCGTCAAATTAATGTTTATGACTTTAGAAAAAAAACTAAAAACATCCATACTTAGACACCAGTGACCAAGTATCATTGAGACCAGTTATGTACTGTAATATACTTTCAACACTTTCAACCTAAATATAAAAATATAAAACTTATTGATTTTAAGATGGGAATTGTTTACTGATTGATATATTGGAACTATTTCTCAGTTTTCATTTTCAGGAAAAAGATTAACATAAATCATTTTAGTCTGAGCGTCTCTGCGGAAAAGTATGGACCCATGGATTTTTTTAGGGGTTTGAAAAACACATAAACACAG